TCTGCTGGGGTTAAGGCAGTGTAGTTTTTGAGAATTAATAAATTATCTGATTCATTGTAAAACTTAATACAGAAACCACAGATGGAAGAAACTGGTGTACTCTGTAGGGTGACATAAATTATCCAACCTGTTATAAAACATAAAAACATTATAGTTGGTAGAACATGACGGTTTTATTATACTTGATGAACGACTCGTAAGTTTCTTCCTCTTGTCTCTGAAGGTGTTCTGTCTGATACTTATGAGGTAATTAAGTTTCTACTGGTTCATTTGATCTATGGATGCACTACACTGTACAGTTTTTTGTGGTGCTGGACGACCCTAGAGAAGAGAGCACTGTTTAGAATCGGAGATGTGTTTCTCTGTTATAGACAATACATTATAGTATTTTTTTGAATGTTTTGGGGTAATTTGATATTTTGTGTTGATTTGATCAACCCAGAGCTTCAATGATGTGGAATTAGTGAGGACTCTGTGTATTGGGCATTGCATGTGTTACTGTGTAGATAATGGTCTTGGCACATACTCTAATACTATATCAGGATTTCTGAAAAAACTTACTTGTGAAAACACTTAAGACTTTATGAGCCACATATCTGTTGAGTTGTCCAGTAGATGATGATGTGTTTATGAGTAGGATCTCAGAGCAGCGTTCTTGGTGAGATGGATGCCTTGAAGATTAGGAACCCCGGCTTATATTACTTCATGACTAAACGCCCTAATACTAACCTAACCTAACACATAACCATATTTAACCCAACCTAACCCTCCCATTTAGCATTAGGGAGTTTAATCATCACATGAAATTGGTGGGGTTCCTAATCTTCAAGTGATCTGTTTATAAGATCAAAATTGGGTTAGGTTAGCTTGGGTTGGGTTGAGTAAGATCAACCTAACTTTGCATACTCGTGAAAATTGACCAATAATGAAATGTTCTCTCTTGAATCTGGTGTTGTCATTAGTGTCTCTGTTCTCTCTCCTCTCGCGGGTTCTCTCGAGGCTTCTCTTATTTTTGTGTGTCGGAGATATTGATGAAACTGAATGGCATCTCAGCCAGGTGTAGGTCACTGGGTTCTCTGATCTAAGCTAACTCTCCCAGGCAAAGGCTGGCATTATGGTATGGTACGAAGTACAGTACAGTTGATATTTAGTCAATGTACGGTACGGAATTACGGTACGATGTTTTCCTTGAAGTACGGTACGGTACGATTTAGGTACGGAAAAATGAGCAAAATTCCGTACTGTGCTGTACCCCGGGCTTAAAACATGATGATGCAATTATTAACCCCTTGAGGAATGTGACGCATTTTGGCAGTTTATTCTGTCTACCATTAGACACTTTTATGCAGCTTAGGAAGAATTTATGGGAATAAACACTATAGACTAGCTGAATTAGCCATCTCTCTATTTTCTTTCATATTCCCTTCCTAAATTGAATAAAATCATCTAATAATAGTTAGAAAAGAGAAAAAAATGTGTCATCGATCTTCAAAGGGTTAATGTATTGGTGGCATCTGTGAGTGATCAGTATAGTCCGCGAGCTGGTAGTCTGGTACTGTCAGTACTGATCATGTTGCGTCACGCCAACTATTCACGTATAACTTGAGAGTTGAGAGTAGTGTCTCCAACTCTCCAGAGTCACCCCTTCCATTGTCGTTGTCGCCGTCGGGAGGGAGCAGTCAAACAGGGGCACTTTATCTAATATTGCACCTTATTGGTAAGATGACCCATATTTTTGCTTCATTGTAAATTAGGTAGATTAAGAAATAAAATTCCGTAATAAGGCAACAATATTATGTGGGCACATTTACATCTATAGTCACTTCGTAAATGTTCCTTTTCAAATCCACACATGTACTGTACTCTAATAAATTGTTCACAAATAGAGAATTATTTTGATGTACGTAAATATATTTTGCCGATGGTACGAAAAAAGTACGGAATTACGGTACGTTATTTTTTCCGTACTGTACGGTACGGAAAAATAATTGGGGGTACGGTATGAAATTACGGTACTGTATTTTAGCCAGGTACGGAGTACGGAAAAATATTCTGTACCGTACCACCAGCCTTGTCCCAGGCATAAAATAGATCCACTGCCAATATTTTTTTTATTTGTTTATCATTTCATCATTAACACCATACTGGATATTTTGGGCAGTCGGTCTAGGCTTTTTTTTTATGAACTTTATTGTCCAGCGTTAGTGCAGGAGGAAACTGTAAATAATAATAATAATAATAATAATAATAATAATAATAATAAATGGTTTATTAATAGAGTTGCAGCCGGTGGCTGAAAATATACAAACTTACATTTGATTTAGACATAATGATATGCGTTGAATACATTTACAGCGCTGTACAGTACATAAATCAGGAGTTGTTTATTATTTTAACAATAGATGGGATGGTGCTATTCTTATATCTATTGGTGCGGGCTCTTATGGGCTGAATTTTGTTGTAGTGGCGGACTGCGCGAGGTGGGCGGGGGACTGCCGGTGGCAGGAGGTGGCGATGACGAGGATGGTGCAGTAGTCCACTGCCAAACCTTGCTAGTGCTTGGTGGTGGCGGTCACTGAGGGATGGCATTTCCAGGGTGGAGAGAGCGTTGATGCAGCCGGAGCAGTCTGCGCCGAGCATGATTCTGCAGGCCCTTTTCTGTACCTTCTCTAGCTGACGTTGTTGGGTGGAGTTGAGAGAAGACGACCAGGCTGGCGATGCATACGTTAGTTTGGGGAGAATAAAGGCGTTGTAGATAGTCCTCAGCTCTGCCGTGGGTGTCCCAAGTGACCTAAGTCGTCGTAGCATGTAGAGACAGTACGAGGCTGCCTTGATTGTGTTGTTTACATGGGCCTTCCAGTCCAGTTTGTTGTCTATAGTTACACCCAGGAGTTTGGCAGATTGCACCAGCTGGAGAGGATGGGCACCCACTGTGACTGCTGGAGCTTGCACTGGAGTGGTGGCGGTATTGATGTGCATGACTACGGTTTTGGCGTGGTTGATGGTGACCTTGTTCTCCGTAGTCCATTCCTGTAGTCTGTCCAGGGTGCCTTGTAGCGATGAGTAGTCTGGTGCGGTGTTGTCCACTGTAACCCTCACAGTGCAGTACTGTACCTGGAGAAAACCTGCCATATTTGGTAGTGTCACACAGTACAGTAGTGAACACGTTACCACTGTACCACCACCACCAGTTGTCTGGTAAATGGTCACATGTACCATATATTAGTTTATCAGATCCAAATTTTAATACAGTATACATTAGGTGTTCTTGACTGCCTACACAAATTTTACCTCACAAGATATCCTGGTGGACCCATCACCCCAAAGCTCCCTAGTGATGGTGGTGGTGGGTTTATCTTCACCAGTCTGTTGAATACTGTACTGTATTACTGGTTTATTTTATTATGTTTCGTTAATAATGTCGTTATTTTGGAGGAGATTAAGTCATGATTAGATTCATTTTATACTGAACTGGTTCGGTTAGATTAGATTAGGTTAGGTTAGGTTAGGTTAATTTTTTACTGAACTTGTTATGAAATGTCGTTGAACCGTAAATGCTACACAAATATAAATAGAGAGAAAATCTTCGCCTCACACCACTTCATATAAAGCCATCAGTACTATCTTGTCCCAGTGCTATATCCCTGTAGTGTTAGAGCTTCTGAAGGGTTTAACTAATGTGTGTATGGATGGCTCTATGGTGTGAGAAACAAAGTGACGATATACAAATAGTGTTGGGCTCAGGAAGCATCTTGTTACATAGACCATTAATGCAGGAAGAATGTAATTAGAGGGAGCTGGTGGAGGAAACAGGGAATGACTACTGATGAGGGTGACTCATCTTTTCCTTGGCTTATTGGTATATACTGTGTTGTGTTATGGCACACACACACACACACACACACACACACACACACACACACACACACCGTCAATAATGCCTCTTATGTCACGTCAGGTTGGCACTCGACCTAGAAAGAGCAGCGCCAAAGTGGAGTCAAAGGTGCCAGATTACTATTAATATAGTCACATAACCATTATCATAAGACATTTAATATAGGTGAACCTTGATGCTTATGGTGTCAGATGAAGATGTGTGGTGATGGTGATGTACAGCTCCTCCCCGACTTACGACCTGCCTCGGTCGTACCAAAATTTGGTCAAATTACGTATTTTTGAGTCCCAAAGTCAGTACACATACAAAATTTTTGTTTGTAATTCACTTTAAAATGGCTGGCAAGCTTAAAAGTGAGAGTTTTGTGGTGCTGAGAAGAAAAAGAGACACCCGTTTTAGATTTTCTATGTATTATTTAAGCATTTCCAACTTACGACCATTTCCACTTACGACCTGGATTTGGGTCCCTAACCCCGTAGTAAATCGGGGAGGAGCTGTATACTGTATATTATTATTATTATTATTATTATTATTGTTATTATTATTATTGTTATTATTATGATTGTTATTATTATTGTTGTTGTTGTTGTTGTTGTTGTTAAGACTCACGGGTGACTTACATATTTGTGTTGTTTATGGTATTTATCTTTATTCTTGTTCCTTCTTCTCCCCTTCCTTCTAACTCCTCCCCGCTACACACACACACACACACACACACACACACACACACACACACACACACACACACACACACACACACACACACACACACACACACACACACACACACACACACACACACACACACACATCATTCCTGGCATTGTGGTTAAATAACACTTGGTTATCATTGTTTGGGTCGCACCCTGATAGGTGGTGAAGGGGGGGGGCATGAATGACAGGTGAGAGAGAGTTGTATATTATGTAGAAGTGAGAGAAAGAGAGAGAGAGTTGTATATTATGTAGAAGTGAGAGAGAGAGAGAGTTGTATGTTATGTAGAAGTGAGAGAGAGAGAGAGTTGTATGTTATGTAGAAGTGAGAGAGAGAGAGAGTTGTATGTTATGTAGAAGAGAGAGAGAGAGAGAGAAGGATGCATCACATCCTTGTTGCAGCTGTGTGTGTGTGTGACGCAGTAGTGAGGGGGAGGGACACCAAACCTTCAGTATATGGACCACCCTCCACCACCATGGCCACCCATCACCCTCTCACCTGCCTGGCCATGCACCAACCCCTCTACTCCTCCACCACATGGCCACGTACTGGTCCATCCCCTCTGCACTCACCACCCAGGCTCTACTGTATGGCCAAACATGAGCCCCTCTACTGTTTAACAAAGCATCAGGCGCTGTACTGTACTGTGTGGCCTCATGCTAGTCCTTCGTCACCAAGGTACTGTACTGTCTGTCTATCATGGTACGGGGGGAGCATATCATGATATTCTTTCCATCCGTCCATAGAGGAGATACCAACACCATAACAAGAACATATGTACGTGTTGTGTTGTTAGGCGGATACATCACAACTACATCTATAAGACGTGTTAAAGAACCTTTGTTGTGTTGTGTTATGTTGTGTGAAGTTGTTACTGTACAAAATTATGGCGGGGCACTGGGCCATCTTTACTGCCAGTCGTGTGTGTTTATGGTGGTCCAGGACCCTAGGGAGGGCACTATAGTATGGTCTAAACTTAATACCTTTATGATCACAGAACAGATCTCGTGTGTCAGGTTCACCTCGGTAAGATCAGGAGTTTCTCACTGCAGGTTTGACGTGTGTGTGAGATACTGTATCGTGGGTGGGGGGCAGAGGACAGCTGGGGGTAAAGGGTGTGAGAGAAGGAGTTACGAAAGGAGGCAGGTAGAGAGTGAGAAAGGTAGGGATAGTAAGAGGATGGGAGGCAAGACTGGTGAGAGAGGGAGGTAACGGATGGTGAGAGTGAGGTAGTAAGGAGGAATGAGAGAGAGAGGTAGAGATGGAGTGAAGGAGGTATAGTAAGAGGAAGAGGGAGGGGGTTGTTAAATGCATAAGGGACCTTGTTAGTGCTGGTCCCTCCCGGATGATGGTAGTTATTGTTTGGCTGGTCTGATTGTGTTGAACCTCTCTCTCTCTCTCTCTCTCTCTCTCTGGGGGGGAGGGGGGGACCTGTACGTGTGTTTTATAAGGGATATGGAGTTTGTTTTTTGTGCAGGTTTAATCATTTGGGTTATGTTAGTAAACTTATATGTGTGTGTTTCGTTGAAGAATATCTCTCTCTCTCTCTCTCTCTATCCTGATGGTTGCCTCTACCATCCCTACTACCACCATCACCCCTAATACTACTATTGCCACTACCATCACCACCATTACCACTACAACTAACATCACCGCCAAGTTTTGTGTGTGTGTGTGTGTGTGTGTGTGTCATGAGAAAGCTTTTAAGGATTCTCTATCTGTTTGGTCTGACTCAAGGCCGTGCTGACATACCACGCCATGTGACTGTCTGTGTATGTCTGTCTGTGTATCTGTCTGCTGTGTGAATTTATACATTTCAGTTTCTCTTCATTTATGTATGTATGTATGTACTGTATGTATGTATGTCTGTATGTATGTATGTAATCTCTATCATATTGTGTTGGGTGGATTAAAGGATATGACACTGAGTAGACAGATTGGGAATGGCTGCTGTGGAAGGATTGAATTTGGTTATCGTGTGGCAGATTAGGTATTGATCTGTTGACATAGACGATTGACCCGTCCTTGAGACTAGCAGTATTCCAGGTTCGTTCAAGGTGGACCAAACCAAGATTGGCCAATAAAGAGGTTTGCCAATCACTCGTTATCTACTGTACTCGTGTGTGTCAGTTTGGCCGCATGACTGTCTTTTGCCAATCACTCGTTATCTACTCGTGTGTGTCAGTTTGGCCGCATGACTGTCTTTTGCCAATCACTCGTCGGTTTATTAGTGTTTTTTTTTTTTTTTTGTCATGCACTGAGGGGGATCATAGTAGTCAGGCACTCTAGGTCAAAGAGATACACTTCCTTCCTCTCCTCTCCTTCCTCTTTCCTCCCCCCTTCCTTCCTCTCCTTCTCCTTCCTCTCCTTCCTTCCTCTCCTTCTTCCTCCTTCCTCTCCCTTCCTTCTCCCCTTCCTTCCTCCCTTATTCCTCCTCCTTTATTCCTTCCTCCCTTATTCCTTCCTCTTTCTTCCCGTTCCTCCTCCTCCCTCCTGCTTCTCTCCTAATCCATCAACCCTCCCTCCCTCCTCCCTCGGCCAGACTAAAAAAGTGGTGGTGCATGATGTCTAGTCTGTGTGTGTGTGTGTGTGTGTGTGTGTGTGTGTGTGTGTGTGTGTGTGTGTGTGTGTGCGCGCGTGTGTGCGTGCGTCACCATTGTTTTATTTACTCCTTGACATAAAGTTGGTGGAAGGAGCATTTGTGGTCTCTCTCTCTGACAGTCCAGTAGGCCACGGGAGGAGATGTGTCATGGGCGTCACTGACAGTCAAGGATGATTTAAGCCAGACCCCTCCATGTAACACACACACACACACACACACACACACACACACACACACACACACACACATACACACACACACACACACACACACACACACGAGAGAATGAGTCAAGAACTAGATTATCTTGCTATCATTAACGTCTTGTATACCTACACCTGTTGACGCACCACTACCTGCATTACCACCACCACCACTACTACCACCATCACGTAGACACATTTTTTAACTCATTTGCTACGAGGATTAATTAAGGAATTTTTCGTATTAGCCTTTGAGAATCCATCTTTATATTGTATCTAAACTCAGGCAGTTACGTATGTTCTTATATCTTGACTTTGTTGTTTCTGCTTTTAGAATTCGCGGTGTTTTTTGCCCAATCAGATTCGATTGTGATTTTGGGTCTCTCATATTTCGAAATTCAAATTCATTTCCGACCCTGGAAGTCTGCGATGGGTCTCACTTCAATTATATGGAGTTAATTACGCGTTTTGGGGAAAAAACGAACAAACTATAGCATTTTTTAGATCTCATGGTGTTCTCCCGACCTCAGTAAAGTGTTGTAAGTGCCAGAACGAATGTCAATATCGCCAAGACACTGTAGTAACTCGTTCTTTATTCACAAGACCTGTACAGTACTGATCTCGGAATCAGACGATGAACTGTTTTAACCAGGCCAATAAGGTAAGAAATAACAGTGATTCCATCATATGGTGAAAGTTTGGTTACGTAAAATCATGTGAGTTAGGTTAGGTTAGGTTTATGTGCTTTTCTAGTGTTATGTTGGTGTGTTTTTTTATTCACTTGGCCATGATTTTTGTCGGAAAACGCCCCACCCAAAACCCCTGTTCCCAACAGGATCCCCTTTATTGTTGGGGGTAGAAGGGGGCGATAACTTAAAAACAGGCAATTTCAGACGGAAATCAAGGTCAGAACCAATCAAAACACACATAAGATAAACATAATTTTGACTGTAACAGAGTTGTGTCAACTACTATAAATTTACCGAAAAATATTGTATTGTTTTGGTGGGAAAAAGTGACGAAAAAATGGTCGGTTAAGAAATAAGACGAACACGAGTGTTTTTAATGGTATAGCTGCGTTCATTATGGTGACTGACTGTATGATGAGCTGGAAAAGGGGTGAGGGGCTGTTGTGTTGCTTCCTGACCACACCTTTAACGCTTATCTTAGCATGATGTGTTATGTTGTTTTGCTGTATTATGTTGTGTTGTGTGTTGAGGATATGACTAGCTGCGCGCCTGTGTGTGTGTTTATCCGGATCCGTGCAAGTGCAAGAACTCTACTGCGTACAACCTCTTAGTGTGTGTGTCCTTTACTTTAGGGGACTTGACACCTGTTGAGTGAAGGTACGGTAGTTAAGGTAGTCTCTCAATGTAACTTTTGATGTCATTTTTATACGTTAATCTGTGTTTTACCTTAAGATCAAAACCAGTTAGGGGACAGTCTTACTACCCATGACTTAATAGGTTAGGTAACAAGTGGAAAAGGTCAAAGTGTACACCAGTAAGAAAGTGTCATGACCCTCTGGCGCGTGTTGGCACTACTGTTTGTTGACAAGTATTATAAGATGATCTGTGTGCCGCCAGGGGTCTGCTGCCTCACACATTGGCTCTTGCACGAGTCAGTATACGAGATCAAGGAAAATACAGTGGTGTTTTGATTAGGTGGATGGGGTGGGTGGGTGGATAGATGGGTGGGTGGATAGATGGATGCTTCAACGTAAACACACCATACACACCCTCTCACATCCCACAACACACCATACACACCCTCTCACATCCCACAACACACCATACACACCCTCTCACATCCCTGGACAAATAGAGACTCCACGCTACACAATGTTGGTGAAGACTGTCAACTTCCCCAGCTGCATGAGACACTTCTCCCATGAACCAAATAATAATAAAACTGATAAAAAATGCGAATTTTCCGACGGTGAGTCACAGGTGAGGAGGCGCATGTGACTAATGACGTCTCACAGGTATTCTTAAACGACCTCAGGTGAGTCTATTAATACCAGCAACATAACCAGATTTGGAAATATACAAGGTGATTTTATTTAACCCGAGAAGCCTAAATAATTCCCATACAGTAAAAACTATTATGTTTGGCGCCTAATATTTTACGTAAATTAATTCGTATTAATTTCTACTACTTGGTGTTTAAATCATTCGTACGTTGTATTCGCTCAACAGATCAATTCATTTTCAATTTCAATTGTTTATTCCTTGATAGAGGAAGCGGGATCCTAGTGCTGTCACTAGGTACCCCTGTACAATGACACCAGAAGGGGCTTACTAAAGTCTAAGGAAGGAAGGATATTCCTTTAACACATAATCAATGTTATTTACATAACATCTGGCCAGTATGGGGAGGATCATCGTGTCTCCGTCAGGGGGTCGAGGAGTGGTGGTCCAGCAGGCGTCACGGAAGCGTTGTGTGTGGGGACATCTTAGGAGGTGTGGATAAGGGTGCGGCTGTCGGGTCTTCTGCATAATGCTCAGGGGACTCAACAGATCTTGATTATTTTGTCATAGCCACAAGCTTAACATTATTTACCTCAGGATAATGAAGCGACAATGTCTCCAGGTGCCAAATACTGTTGGCTTATCCACACCTCCTTGGGGATTAAACTTGGGGTGATTTTCTTGTGTTAATCTCACTAATTCTTCTTTTATTTCACAGTTGTTTATACGCTCGTAATGGCTAGTGTACTTGGGTCGTGATGTGTGTAGTGGTTATTACCTTATTTATCGATGTATGAGCGTAAATAACGTAGGTAAAGAGTTAGTTATAGGTGTTGTAGTAGAAAACGAGATTAATTTTTTATTAAAGAAAACTCTCCTGTGTTTATATTTGAAGGGAAACTA